AAAAAAAAAAAAAAAAAAAAAAAACCTGTAAATGAATGCTTATACTGGGGTACAGCTATATTTGGGGACACCTGATGGTATCTAGACATTATGAGTTAGATATGTCTTAGGAACTTAGAGTAAACAGTGAATAAACAAAGCAAGCCATGACAGGCCACATGTAATATGATTCTCTCATGTTAAAGTTCTATCCACACACAATAAAGCTATACCTTTATGGGTTCACATATCTGTAAAGACAGAGAATCAAATTGCACAGGGAAATTTCTTTTGTATTTCATATTTTAGTTTCTTATTAAGTGGTAAGCCACTTATTTTTAAATCCTTGTCCATAATGAAATGACCAACCTGAATCCAGGAAGGTACACTTCTGTGTGCTAGGTGATAACTCTGAGGTACCTTAGGCTTTCTATTACCGTGATGAAACACCATGATGAAAATAACTTGGGAAGGAAGAGATTATTTGGTTTATACTTCCACGTCTAGTTCATCACTGAAGGAAGTCAGAGCAGGAACCTGAAGGCAGAACCTCATACAGAGGCTGAGATACATGAGATATATGAGATGGATGCTGCTTGCTGGCTTGCTCTCTGCTCTGATGACCTTAGCTTGTGGAAAGTTGGCATAAAACTCAGTAGAAACTGATCCCCCTTGTCAATGTGACACAGAAGCACATCACTATTTCACCCCAACCATTCCTTTCTTGTTCATCCCCAATATCACACTTTAATACAAACACCACAATATAAAACGTTTTATAAACTTAAAAAGTTCCACAGTCTTACAAATTCAAATACTTTAAAATTTCCTTCTCTTTCAATATATCCAAAATTTCTTTTAAAAATTCAAAGTCACAGTCAGGTGGTAGTGGCACACACCTTTAATTCTAGCACTCGAGAGACAGAAGCAGGTGGATCTTTGTGAGTTCGAGGCTAGCCTGGTCTACAAGAGGTAGTTCCAGGACAGGCTTCAAAGCTACAGAAAAACTCTGTCTCAAAAAAAAAATCATGCATGTCAAAGCAAAACAAAACTCCATCTGGGTAGATCTACTCAATGTCCAGTATCTGGGATGCACTCATGAACTTCTGGACTCCTCCAAAGGGCTTGGGTCACTTCTCTGGCTTTGCTTGCTGCAAAACACACACCGGCTCCTAGGCTCTGGCTGGCTTCACTGCATACCTGCTGCTATCCTCCGTTGTCTGCCATGGTACTGGCATCTCCAAAATGCTGGCATCTGCTGCAACTATGCTACTCTCCCAGTAGCCTCTCTTGGGCTTTCTTTGAGTCCTCCAGCCATGCCACACAGTACCAAGCCTCAGCTGCTCTCTATGACCCTTCATGACATCAAAGCCAGTACCACCTGGGTGACTCTTAAATGACCAAGTTCGGCTGCAGGCATATAGTATATAATCTTAGTCACCTCTGGAGCACAGCTTGAGTGTGTTGCCTCTAAGAAAACACTTCCCAGAGGATGTCACTTCCATGATGCTGGTCTCTTGTTAGTCACCGCTAATGTCTCAGTTCCAGCTGTCCAGCACTGATTGTTCCAGAAAAGCAAAGATTTGACTTCAGTTGTTCTGGTTCCTTGTTAACCTTCAGCCTTTGGTTAACCAGAACCACGGAATCTTAACTCAAAATAACAAGCAGTCATTAAGAGACTTGCAACCTTCCCTCTGAAAGTTCACAAGACAGGCTCTGTGGTCTGCATTTCACTCAATACTCTAATATTCCAAGCTCGCACAGAACAGCTCACCAAGCTTTGAAAGCTAAACAGCCCAGAGTTTCAAAGTTTTTCCATAATCCTCCCCAAAACAATGGAGTCAAGTCTGTCACAGAGATATGCTGGTACCAGTTTATTCTGGTTCATTTTTAAAAGGACTATTTGCTAAATTGGTATAAACGGTTTTCCATGCGGTGTTCAGATGAAATCATAGTTATCCTGAAATTCCCTTTTATTTCAAGCCTTACTAATGAAACCTTTCTAAAAATACTGAACAAAACCATACAACTTCTAGAATTTATTATGTATCTCTGATCCATTGCTGCTAGGGTCTATTTCCATGTAGCATCCTCTTTATCGGCTTTCCCCGCTAGCTTTCTGAAGGTGGGCATCTTGCTAATTGGCACCAGCACAGTGGTCAGCCTCCTCTCAGACAAGTGCCTGGCATTTCCCAAGCTTTGGCTCAGCAGTTTCTCTGAACTTTCATCCTTCAGGCTACACAGGTGCCCTGTGTGAGACGGACATAAATGAATGCAGCAGCAACCCCTGCCAGTTCGGGGGTGAGTGTGCCGAACTGTCCTCAGAGGCGGTGTATGGACACATTGCTGGCCTGCCTTCCTCCTTCAGCTACCTTGGAGCCTCGGGCTATGTTTGTATCTGTCAGCCTGGATTCACAGGTGAGGCTAATGAAATGGGTACTGACTCCTGGGTTTAATGACAGCGGTGGTTGTAACTAAAGCGCTGATGAGAAGACTTGGGCTGTCCCCATCCTGGTCTTGACCTCTTTGCTCCTCCCACACTTCAGCTGGGCTTTGGGAGCTCAGCCCAGTGCCCCACTGCGAGTCTCTACCCCTGTCTCCATCAGTTGCTGGATGAAGGTTCTATAGTGACATTTAAGATTGTCGTCCATCTGACTACAGGGCAAGGCAAGTTCGGGCACCCTCTTCACTATTGCTTAGAGTCTTAGTTGGGGACATCCTTGTGGATTTCTGGGAACTTCTCTAAAGCCAGGTTGTAGTAGGAGGCTGCTTGTTTGTAGTAGGAGGCTGCTTGTTCATTCTAGGCTGCCCAAGCCATGAAATAATCAGTCAGAAACTCTATTATTTAAATCACTGCTAGGCCAATCACTTAAGCACATTGCTAGCTAGCTCTTATATCTTTGGTTAACCCATTTCTATTATATTTTACCATGAAGTTAGTGGTTTACTGGCAAGGTTACAGCTGGCAGCTCACATCTTTCCCCTCTGGCAGCTCTGTGGCGTCTTTTTGACTCTGCCTTATCTATCTATCTATCTATCTATCTATCTATCTATCTATCTATCTATCTATCTATCTATCTATCTATCTATCATCTATATATCTTCCAGCCTGGCTATATTCTGTTAAGCCATTAGCCGAAAACAGCTTCTTTATTCATTAACCAGTAAAAGCAACACATATATAGGAGAACTTCCCACACCACCAGGTATTTTGCTAGCCCCGTAATGGCTCCCTCAATCAAAATATCTTTCTCTGCTTTCCATCTCTATCCTTGCCCCATCTCAACTATCCCATTACCTGAACTAATGGGAATTCACCAACTCCAGCCTGTCAGGGAAGGAACAAGCATAGAAATACGCCAGAACCTCTGAATATGGGTGACAGTTGTATGGCTGGGGAAGACTACAGGGCCACTGACAGTGGCACCAGGATTTGTCCCTGTTTCTTGTACTGGCTTTTTGGAACCCATTCTCTTTAGATGGATACCTAGCTCAGCCTGTATATAGTGGGGAGAACCTTGATCCTTCCTTGGAGCAATGTGCCTTATCCTCTCTGGGGAATGTATGGAGGTGGGGGTAGGGGGAAGGTGGAGGGAATGGGAGGAGAAAGAAGTGGGAACTGGGATTGGTATATTATTTTTAAAAAATAAAATGAAAAATAATATGAAAAATAATAATAATAATAATAATAATAAGAAGAAGAAGAAGAAGAAGAAGAAGAAGAAGAAGAAGAAGAAGAAGAAGAAGAAGAAGAAGAAGACGACGACAACGATGATCTGGGCTGTATAAACTCTGGTGCCATGGCACAAAGGGTCCACCTTGTGGGCATGAATATATCTTGGATCACGTGTAACTCCTTAACTCATAGGGTTAATGTAAAAAAAGACGATGGAAATGAATAAAATGGGAACCATTTTCCTGAGAATTGCTGTCCATCTCAAATTCCTCACTCCAGAGTGACTGAATTTGAGAATGTTTTTATGATTTATTCGTATTTTCTAGCAAAGTTCTTCTTAAGTATACGTTCATGAAGAACAATTACCTAGTTTCAAACAGTCTTGCTTGACTGTTCTGCAGCTAAAGTTAGTTCACTCATCAAGCTCCAGTGGCAGCTCTTCCCCTGGAATTACTTCTCTAAACCCCAAGGGTCCTGCGTGTCTATTTTCCACTGAAAGAGACATCTGTATCTACTGTGCATTCAGGAACTTTCGGGGCTTTTGAAAAATCCCCTCGAATTATTAATAAATAGTGATTCACCCACAACTGCTACATATTAAAGAGAAAGATAATCACAATCTAGATGTCTAGCCATCTTTTCCTCCATAGATTAAATATGTGCTTCAGGAAATATGTTAGCTGCTGTTGAAGAAGTCTGGGAAAAGCTCATTTTTTGCTGATTTCTTTCTTTGTCTTTAGTTTTAGGCTCTCTTTATTTTTCCTTTTCTTTTAGTTTTCAGAAGTTAATTTATTATGTACTTTCATGCTTTTCCTACCTTTGATATACTCAGTATGCCAACAAACTTCTTGTTGCTATGACAACAAGCTGTAATTAGTTTATTCTATTAAAAATTATTTTGGTTCATGGTTTCAGTCTATAATGACTTAATGTCATCATCTTTGATACTATAATGAGGGAAGACATGGTAGGCACTGTGTGGCAGAAGAGACGGCCTCATTTTATGGTAGCAAAAAATTAAAAAGGAAGGGAAGATCAGAAAGTAAAATCCTAGTGTTCAGTTCAAGGCAGTGTCCCTAATGACCAAACTTAGCTTCACTACACTCCACCCTCTAAGATTTCCCTCACATCCCAGTGGGCCAATAGGCCATTGAACAGTGATTATTCTTTTAATATGCAGGTCTTTTTGGGAAGTGGATATTCATCCAAACCATAGCACTCACATTTTTAAATATTTGAGTGTTGGGTTTTTTTTTTTGCCCGCTCTTGTGAAAATTTTAGCCAGTTTTTCATTGAATTGTTTATCAATTCCACATTCTTTCTTACTCCTAGAACAATAATTTTATATCTTTTAATATTAATAAATTTTATATTTTTCATTGTTTTTATGAGGTTTGTAAATTCCCTCCCTGCCTCTACTGTTTTCACTCTATTGTTCATACTGGGCAAATTCTGTTGTTTTTGTAAAACAACAAAGTAATTCCACTCTCACTTCCTTTTTGTTAATCTATACATCCAAAGAGTTCTTTCTTCCATTGTCTTTTGTGACTATTCAATTCCAATTATGAGTGGCATGCTTCTAATAGTTATGTTCTTGTTTATCTCATACTGTGGAACTCCAAATGATCCCTGCTGGTGGTCCTTGAGTGGCTTGTCATTGTTTCTTCATTGATGTTTGGTGGGGTTAGAAAATGTGTGTGTGTGTGTGTGTGTGTGTGTGTGTGTGTGTATGTGTGTGTACAAACACATACCATAAAATAGCAGGTTTCTATATGGCTTTCTCAAAGGTCTTTATTTAGTGTTAGTTATCTCTGTCCTAATCAAATGCTGTGATGAGCATTCCCATGACACAATCATGTGGAACACATCTCTTGAGGAGGCTCATGGTTACTGAGGCAGCAAAAAAATAAATAAATAAAAATACCCATCTGCTAATAAGATTTCCCTACCCTACCAGAAACATTCTGTATCCAGGAGCCCATGTAGAGGAGATGTGCCATAGCACTGGTCTGGCACCTGATGGTCCCTGGATTGTTTCTTCATTGGTAGAACTGGAATTAAAGATCGTAGGAGAGAAAGGGACTTCTGTGGCTAGGCAAGTGTTGTGATAGGTTTCTCCTTACCCCTGGAAAACAGAGAACATGTAACTGTGCCATAGTTCCTTTTGCTAAGGTCTTCCAGGTCTGACAGCAGTAAGGGCATTTCACGGGTTGTTGAGGTAGAAAAAAAAAAAAAGACACAATCAAACAAGCAGTAGAGAAAATATATTTGTGTTCATGAGGCCAGACAGAATCTAATGGGAATTATAAGAGCCCAAATGGCTCAGTACATTAGTATTTTATGTGAGAGCACTGTGCTGTGTATGAAAAATGGAAGAGGTTCTGTTGATTCGTGTCTGGTCCTTGAACTATCCTCTCCAAAGTGAATTTGAAACTCATGACTTATATGTGAAGCGTTAGTGGTTCATTTTGCTTCCTCAAAATATAGTTGCATGAATAGCTTTAACAATTCCCAAACCATCTCATAATGAAATCCCAATTTCAACTGTAACTCTGTCTCACCAACTCCAATTAGCATGTATTCCCACAAACAGGAATGGCGTCGGTGTCTCTGGAAATCTACATTGTCGCTTCTGAGGCTGCTCCTCCCATCTGCTCTCTGCGCAGAAAGAACTGAAGCAGGCAGCAGGGGATCCTGAATGTCCTGGCTTCAAAACGATGTGCAGGGTTCTTTACAAAACACCCGATGAGAGCCACCTGGCAGCGTGACTGCACACGGAGCACTGGCTCGCAGGTTCAACTGCTTTAAGCACTCTGTTGCTAAAAATGTATTCTAGTTCATTAAAAATTGAAGGCTGTGCCCATGTAAAAATCAATTTGTGTTCCTTTACCTAAGCCCAATTAAAACAGTCATAGGAACAAACACCATCAAGAGCTTCACACAGCCACGAAGCAAGAAGGCTTTTGACATAGTCAATATCTCCTGATGAAGTCAAATTTCCAATAGAATTTGCTCATCTTCTGATGATATCTTAGGCTCATTGTTCTCAGAAATACTTTTTTTTCTTAAAACTTAAACTTGGGAATATAGATTCTATGCAACTTGAGAAGATTTATTTATTTATTTGTATATTTATTTGAGTTAGAGACTCACTATGCAGCCCTGGCTGGACTAAAATTCACTATACAACTTTATAAAGCAGGTAGGTGTTAATCTCACAGAGATCTGCCTCCTGCTGCCTCCCAGTTGCTGGGATTAAATTGTGAGCCACCACAACTAGTCCTACTGAACAAATATGTTATACATGTATAAAAACCTAACTCAAAATATCAAACCTTGCAGGCAAAAGTATAATCAAGTCATAAAAGAGGATCTAAAGTTATTTTTTTCTTCTAGTTTCAACTCTGTCACAGTTTTTCTTTCTTTCCTTTAACTTTATTTATTGTGTGTGTGTGTATGTGTGTGTGCGCATGTGTGTGCGCATGTGTGTGTAGGATAAGCGAATGAACACGTAAGTGTTAGTAAAAGCATACAACTCTAAGCAATGCTCCGCGGCTTCAGCATGGACTTCCTAACTGTACAGAAGGTCACTACGATGGGTAAAGTTTGGAGCTGGGCAAGTGAATAGCTACCTTGATCTAGCTGTGTTATATCTTGAGTTCACTATAATCAAGTGACTTTATTTAATTAAAGAATTCAAGAACAAACTTTGTTTCACTACCCTTATTTACTTAATAAAGAG